GAGTGCAGTCACGCCTCCGCCCTCGACCTTGAAAAGACCACCAGTGAAAGAGCCAGTAAATCGTCTAGAGGGTGGCTTGAAAATTCACAAAATGGTCCATGTTCCTCCCAGTAACAAGAAGAATGGTGCCCTGAGAAAGTGTTGCGTGAGTGCTAAGCACAAGATTAGAAAAGAAACAAGTATCATGTGTGCAGGCTGTGGTGTGGCTCTCTGCAAACTTTCATGTTTCAATGTTTATCACACGAAGAAAAACTAATTAAGAGGTATGGAAAGGCATTTATTGCATAAAATATTGTATTTTAATTAGTTCCTGAAAATTTCGTTTTTAAAAACCAATTTTTGTTGAAGTTGTTTAGGAAAAAGTAACTACATGCATTTTAGCGACATAAGGTTTAAAGGGCCTGCCAGGACAGGGGTGGGATTTAAATACCCTTCGCGCCAGTCAAAGAGTTAAACTCAGGGATGGATGACTAACTGAACTGAGGGGGGGGAATGGTTACAAGTTGCCTGGAACAAAACCAAGAACACTGATGAGAATACAAGGAATGCTTGCGCTGGTTGCACCTGATGATCATTTAACATTGGATGTCAGACTTGTAATTCAAGCAAGGAATATAACCTTAAGGACATACTCAAAGGGGTGACTTCATAACTACATGTTCCAATGAATAAGCTTTTAAGGATTATTTGAAAATTTGTATTCAAAATGGTTCCCGACAGGGAACATGTTCTGACATCACCAGGACAATAAAGAGGCCCCATGGAGAACTCCTGCGTAATAGATCAGAAGCATGTCAATTTCTCTAGAAGCGATAGTCACGAGATTTAAAAAGGGCTGTATGTCTGATGAAATGGATGGGAGGGAGCATGAGGATAGCAGCAAACATTAGTGTGAGCAATGAATGTGAAACAAAAGATGGGAACTGTGATGACACAGAAGCTGAGACAGACAACGGGAATGGTAAACGAAGTGAGACTGGTGAAGCTGAATAAACGCATGTGACTTCTAGCAGAAAACTCAAGAAATTCTGTGTATAACACATTTTGTAATACTTATTTTCTTTCACATATTTGTAGCAAGATTACAAAATTAATTCATGAAATTACTTTCTTTTTCTGTGCAGATATATTTTCTAGTATGGAGTCACCTACATTCAGAATCAGCTTCAGGTTAAAACAGTAGTATACATGAGGGCACCATGAAAAAGTGGTTAGTGTTATGAATTACTGCAATGAAAAAATTGGTCTACTACAGAAAATTCTTGTTCTTATCTTGCTTGTTATCCCAAATTTTTTAAAATTCTTGCCTCGAACTGAAAAAGTCATTCTCACACATGCCTACATATTACACATTACTCTGTAACATTAACATAATTTTAGCATTAAAACTGGTCTTCCACACAAGAAACAATTCAAATTTTCTGATATCATAATTAAATCAAAGCACCTAACAAAAACTGTTTCCAATGTACCTGAAGCCCAGTTTCAGTAATGAATGTTGTATGCTGTAAAATCTACAAAATAATGGCAAGACAGTTTAGGACTGCCAACATGAACTAATGGACTTGCAATAAATCACACGAAACAGCTGCACAAATTAAAATCATTACCCCAGGGAGTTTTTAAAGGAATCATTAATATGTTTTTAATTTTCATGGCAGCACTGTACAAATTAGTTCAAAGCAATGCCTTAGCCTGCAAAGCAAGGGATGAATTTCGCTGTCATTTCATGAATATACATATTGGGGGGGTTAATGGTAAAGTATTCCTCTTGGCAGTAATTTTAACCATGACCTCAACTTTAGGAAAATTAAAACTGAACACAGCAGTTTGTCTCTTTAAATACCACACCAAGTGTTTGGGATATGCAAGGGTCTCATAATGTATGCTGCAAGCAACACTATGTTGTAGGGATGATATCTGCCATCTACGTTGTGTCACACCCTAATACTGTACTTATAACAATGACAAGAATTATTTGACAAGAATTTTTAACAGGCAGGAGTAAATTAAGTATTCTTCTGTATTTTTTAATTCAACTGATAATTCCAGCTCATTCACGGCGCGAGTCAGAACAATAAACTGATAATTAAACCTTAATGCATCCTGCCTATAAATAGTGCCATTAGTTCAAGAGCCGTAAGTCAAAAGCTTGGGAAGTCAATATTACCCACAAGGTATACTGATCAGTGTTTGAAAATATTTTCTACTTTTACAAAGACAAATTCCTCACTAGTATATGAAATCATTCATGATGTGAAACTAATCTTACCTAAATTTTTCCTTCATCATCGGTGTCAAGTATACAATTCCATGTAGTTTCCCACTTTCTTATATATTCATTAAATTTAATTGATACAAGTCTTATTCTCTGATGGTATGAGAGTGGTTATTTCATCTCAACATCTTCAATTAGAGTTTCAAGCAAAGATCAGTGGCTATCTTGTGACCAGTTGGATCAGTCCAGAACTGGGAGTGAGTCAGCTGCCATCACTTATGATCCTTATCCATGCCACCGCCTCCTCCTCCTCCTCCCTTACTCCCTCTCCCTCTATCTCCACTACCTCTTCCCACTCGCCCATTACTCCCCCGTCCACGGCTTGTTGATGGGCCTTGCCCCTTCTTACCCTCAACGCTGTTAATATAGTCTGTGATGGTATTACCGGCATTGAATCTGGCATCACCATGACGCCCTGGGCCACCACGCCCCCGCCCACGACCTCGCATTGGCCCACCTCGGCCCCGGCTGCTGCCACCGTCCATGTCTGAATTATAACCCCTGAAATGGAAACAAACTTCATTTACTATGAACTCTAGCGAGGTGCATTTTTTACATATAACTGCAACAATAATAATATTACTTCACATTAGTATAAATATATATAATCATATTGAAATTATTATTACACAAATACTGTGTAATAATAATAGGTCTAAATGGTAAAGCTGAAGTTGTACACTAACCATAGTATGTCATACCTGGTGTATGAAACCTTCTGGAATAAACATTTTGTGTGTTTAATGAAGAATTCAGCATCATGGTCATAGGGACCATAATTTATAGGCTACACAATTTAATACCAACTATCACTAAATCTTTAATATACTTGTATCTATAAATAATGTTGTCACATATTGCCTTACAACAAAGAAACTCTCATCTGTAATAAGTTAATATGGCAGAAAGTACAGTATGTATGTTGTACGAGTATCTGTTAGTTATTGGAGAGGGTGGGTTTCCCCATGCATTGAGACCTGTATTGGTCCATTGTGCTTCTCTCTATGATTTCTACCAGTCTCTATATCCCACCGGTACTGGTGCTTACCATCAGTCCCGCCCAGCCAGCGAGACTGGCTCTACTAGCTGAGAGGTATCTATAATGCTTCCCCCATCTACCAGTGGTATTAGAGACTGCTGTTGGGCGGGAAACGTCCGTAATTTGGCTCAGTGACCTCCTTTGGAGATATGAGGTTCCTTTATGTGCCGTAAAGCTACGACACGGGACCCACGGCTTAAAGTCCCTCCCGGAGGACTTGTTCCCTGAATTTTTCCGCCCTTAAAAATTCGACGACCTCCGCCGGGTATTTGAACCCGCGTACTACGAGTCATGAGGTGGGAACGTTACCTCTAGACTATGGAGGCCGCTGCGAGTATCTGTTAATTTCTTATAAACATGCTCTTTCTCCTGTTATTGTGGTATCAACAGAGTAGTCATCTAATAGAACCTCAGTTGGTGCAGCTTGTGGAAATATGAGGGGGGACCCAAAAATAACCGGAATTTATGTTTGTTATTTTTTATTTTTGCATTTTTAATGAACTGTATATTAGTCCCCTTCAAAGTATTGTCCATGTGCATTAATGCACTTGTCTCAACGCTTTTGCCACTGCTCAAAACAGTGCTGGAATTCTTGAGGCTGGATACTGTTCAAAGCCTTTAGCGTGTTTTCTTTGACTTCATCCACATCACGGAATCGCCTTCCTTTCAAACTTCTCTTCATCTGTGGAAACAAAAAAAAAGTCCGACGGAGCCAGGTCGGGTGAGTAAGGTGTATGAGGCACAATCACCATGTTGTTGC